TAGCTGTGCCACACTAGTACAGAAAGCGACTTTTCGCGTTTTGCGCGCGAACATTTTTCGCTGCGGAGAACTCCAGGTCCACTCATGATCAGCGGTGGACCTGAGGTTCCTGCAGCGAAAAAATGTTTCGCGCTGCGTAACGCGAAAAAGTCGCTTTCCATCCTAGTGGACCAAACCCGCCGCCGCGTGTGGGTCTATTCCAGTTTGGGGGTGGGGCATCATGATGCAGTTTTCCAGAAAGCTAGGGTAACTCCGAGCCAGGGGAGTGTAGCCAGTCTAGGGGGTGGGGGTGAGGGCAGTCACTTGACATGCGTGAAAAGCTGGAATGTTCGAGTTCACACTAGTTCGCCGAGAAACTGCATCATGATGCCCCCTATTGGAATAGACCCCCGCGGGCTCCTCCCCACCAACTAAGCTAGCACCCCATTCTCAAAACTCACTAGGGACCTACTATACTTCAATCAGTCTGAAATCCCTTGCCTTTTAGGAGTGATGGGAATTTGCCGATGTCTTAACCTTTCCTTCACTGAGGAACAAGTGTTAGCGATAATCGCGGTGAGTCCTGTTGTTGTCTTGCGGTAACTGTGTTCCTTTTCACTTACAAGTGCAATATTAATGTCTATTCTAATGTGTAACGGCAGATGGCGATGCGATCAAAGGTTATGATGCAATTGAGCCAGTAACTCTTCTACGACCCTCATACCTAAGGCTTTCCTCGGAGCAGTGGTTGTTACAAGTTACTTGTGTAAGGTGTCGCCCATTCGAAAAGCTGGGAATTTGCTCGGCAGGTGATTTAAATCGCACAAGAGAGACCAAAAATTGATTGTACGGTTATCAAATCCATTTCTATGCGACATAAGGGAGTTTACGGACTACTTGAACTTTCTTTCATGGTCCTGCCACGAAGAGCGAAGTACACAGACGATCAGGGAACGGCGCCTGGCTCGGCTTCGAATTCCAAGGAGGGAGGTGAGAGGGCTCCCCCACTTTGTTCACGATTTGGGGCGCGGCCGCGGCGAGCGCGGACGAGTCGATAGTGCCCGCGAACTGTGGTGGTGATGCGTTTTCAAATTTACCCGCACAGTTCGCGGGCACTATCGACTCGGCCGCGCTCGCCGCGGCCGCGCCCCAAATCGTGAAGAAAGTGGGGGAGCAAGGTGAGAGCCCTGGGACTTAGCCTCGTAAGAGGGAGGGACTCCGAGGGGAGAAAGCCTCGTAAGAGGGAGGGACTCCGGGGGTGAGCCAACTACAGTGTGGCAAAAGTTTGAATGTGTGAGATCACAGTGGTCATGAGCCGCTGATAAGGTGAGAGAGCGCAGACGAAAGCGTCGAGTGAGGCAGCTTAAAGGGCCGAGTTCAAGTAGTCCGTCAACCGGAAGCGTCCCCGCCGCTGATTCTATTCCTTTAAACGTTGGGTCCCGCCACTATTGAGTCGCTGGTACATAGTTCGACTCGCTGGTGCAACGTTCGATTCGCTGGCGCAACGCTCGGATCCAGCGATTCGCAAACTATGACATCGGCCGACGATTTGAGAACGGCGCCTGGCTCGGCTCCAAATCCCAAGCAGGCAAGGAGGGAGGTGAGAGCCTTAGTACTAAGCCTTGGGGGGGGGGGCAGGAACTCCAAGCTGAGTGCGTGAACTCATGAATGGCGTTTATCCGAAGTCTTGTTCACTATGAGAAGCTTTTAGAAGTAACGTACCGAAACTTCGTCAGTGCGACTCAATGATTGCATGAAGGAGGATTCACGATAAGAACGAAGGTCAAAGAAGGGAAAATTGCATAGTTGGGAGACAGGCGGACCTCCTGAGGGTGCGGACGACGCGCAATTGGCAGCGAAAGATTTGACCTCGGCGATCTAGCATGGCTCACTCTTGGCGCGGTTGGCGGGGTACGCCCACCGACTATCTAATCACTCGCCGCAGGTCTATACGTGGCGAGTGATTAGATAGCAGAGAGCGTAGTGTTGAAGAGGGCATGAAGTCGCATCAATGCGCAAATCAACGGGCAAGGAAGGGGTCCCATTTCTCGGGTTCTGGGCCGTTTCTCATGGTTCTTCCTTCTTTCGTGTACCATCCCTAAGTTAATTTGAAATGGGTTGCTTTTCCATCGTGAATTCTCCTTTAGTGATGAGCTGACAAGCTCAACATCTGAAAAGCTGCCTCATAAAGATGTCTCACATTTGCACAGAAGGCGAAAAATGTTGTGTTACACCAAAATAACTGAAAGGAAGAAGAACTTCAAAAATTGAATGTGCACGCCGTTTCAGTCATTCGTAGCCATGTTGTTTATATAGGGAAGGGGGGGGGGAGGGATTGAAAACGACTTGTCTTCACATTCAAATCCACATTGAAATGGATTTAGTCAGGTTGTGCTAAATTAAAAATCGAACACACCCAACTTAGAATTGAAGAGCGCATTCCTTTTCATAAAAGAGGCTTCATTATGGACATTCTACGTGGACGGCATCAGAAAAATAAACCTTGGGAACATAAAGAACATAAGAACTGGTCGAACCCAATGGGGTCCTCGATGGATCGTGTGTCATTACATGATTCTGGAAAGCGGGCTCCGGGGCGGTTGCGTGGTTAGAGCTAATGTCTCTAGGAAACTATCCAACAGTGAATCGATCCAAGAAATTATGTAAGAGCTTCAGGCTGAAGCAGTTACTGTAGGCCTCCTTGAGCTCGACGACGATGACAGATGACGTCATATTCTGAAGACGGTGAGGGCAGTGAAGGAGGGCCTGCGTCTACTTAATAGAGGGACATTTGGGAATATTTTGCTGAAGAACTTCCGTCAACGACGACAATCTCTGCGACGAAAAAATGCTGAAATGCGATAGAGCAAAATGTCTTCTATTTTGCCCCCACCCCCTCTATGGCCAACATCACGCCTATATCATACATATGAATATCATATTAATATGCATATACATATGATTCGTGGAGTTGAATGGCATCGTACGATAGTGTTGAGGTAACAAAACTACGGGAGGATAGAAAATTGTTTGCGCAGGGGTATGAACGGGAAAGAGGGGACAGAAATTGTTCGCGGTGTGGTGAATTTGTCCGAAATGGTTTCGGTCACACCAGATGTGGCTCGCTGTTTTTATTGAAGGGTACCATGAAATAAATAAGAAAGACTGCGTATGAAATGTTTCACAGAAGAACCAACAATCTAGGTTCATTATTGGCTAGCACAGTCCCACTCTCTGTAAGTTGTTCTTCGAGTCAGAACATAATAAATCAAAGCACAAAAAAAAACGTGAAAGCGATAACGAAGTTGTGGTGCACCAGGCGCATTGCGTGAAAGGCAAAATCAAACGATTGTGGCAGTATGTTCCGAAATGAAGAGTAACCGAATTTTCTGCCTACTCATCAACTAGGTAAAATCAAATCGTAAATGCTTTTATATCAATAGTTCCGTCTAATTTCTACGGCGCGGGAATCATAATGTCGTTGTTCCTTCACCGCCAGAATCCGCTCGGCTGTGTAAGTGCTCATACCCATTTGCAACAATTCATTTGATAATCCAAGTGGATGCGTCATATAAGGTAAAGGGTATAATCACGGTCGCAGCATCACGCGGTTGAATTTTTTTCTCCCCATATTATGCTACCCTAATCTCCAAATAAGATGAAAGCGTCTCGCGAATTAATAGAAAGCGCCCCGCATATATGAATCCTGTTTGTGTCTTTATAAATTACGGCTTTGGCTCTGTACCCGCGGTGCATTCTTCCTTCATAAGGGTCCCTCTTTCGTTAGTATCTACTGACATTTTCACGGCTTCCTGGACCACTCCCAATTTTGATTTTGACACCGCCCCTTACTCACCCATCAATAGCAAATGGCCTCCCTTCCTTCCGCCAACCTCTATCCATTCTTTTCCGGTTTCCTGGCAGTGACGAAACCGAATTACAATGTTTCGTAATAAACTGGCCACTTTGTTGCATGTCTCATCCACCAGTAGCTAATGAGCATCTCTCCTTCGCCAACCTCTGTCCATTTTTTCGTCATTTTTTTCACCATCAAATCATTTTTTCCCGCGCAAGCTACTTCTTAAAGCAACAATCCAAGAACGAATTCGCGGGCAAAAACCACCTATAATGAAGTTGTAGGTGAAAAGTTGACCAATTATGAAAGAAAAGTTTAAAAAACGTCGAACAGGGTCTTAGACAGGGACTCCCCCTTTGCCGCTTGAAGGCAAACCCCGGGATTAGCCCGACTAGTAGGAAGGATACCGCGAGGGAAATTGTAAGACCCGTACCTACCTAGATCACTTCAGCTTGGTCGCGAAAATTGCGCGGTTAGGGCGCTAATCCTTACGGGCCTCCAACCATCGAACGCTTCCCACCCACCGCGAGATGTGGTGAGATCAGCGTGATGTAGAGATCAGCGTGCTCTCTCAAACGACGTGCTCTCTCGCGTATTTTGTCTTCTTTGATCGCCCTGTCTCGCCATCGTACCACATCCGACCTTTTTGAAGGTTAAGGCCTTAATTTCAGCGTTCCAAAGATTTCTCTGCTTTCCTTTCCACTTTCAGGTCGTTCCGCAGCTAAGCTATCACTACGAAGCGCTCTTAGCACCAGTTTAATTCCGGAGTTTGCCTTTAACCATGGGGCGTCTCCCTGTCTCCCCGGGCAGAGGATAGCATCGGAGGAGTGGGACGTGTCTTCCTGGAGCGCGCATTATATGAAGTCATTGCGCTAAAGTATGATAATGATCCCCACGAAGGATTGAAACACACCCAGTTTTCCGAGAAAGGCGTTGGCATGCACTTTATTAGGTCGCTTGAGTGAAACGATAAGAAAGCAATGGAAAGGCATCGCGTGCATAATTTTTTCCCACAAACGGATTCATGTTCCGATGCCTTCATTGATGTTTCATAATCGGTGATGCATAACTACTTTTTGAGAATTTTCGGCTTATTGATTTCAGCGTGGCTCTCATTGTATTTGCCGAAAATTTAATCATACCATGCACTTTGACCACAGAATACCACATCTGTTTAAACAGCGCTGGATGTTGCTTACTTTGGGATTCGGACGCCTGAAGAAAAAGTTTCGTAGATTGTGCTCCCACTACTACCACGTTTTTGTAAGCTTGTTCTACAAATGGTTTGAGCAATTGTTTTGAAAAGGAACATAAATTCACATTAAACTTATTGTTAGATAAACGAGATACTAGTGAGGTTTTCCACACTTTCAATATTTTCGAACGAATCCTGATGGTGCAAATCTAACTCAGGATAGGGGAGGTCTTAATTTGTATTTGTGTGCACTCATTCTACTACAGTTTCCTTTTTCTGAAGCAGGAGAACCCATTTTTTGTTTTTTATGCCATTAATTTGTGTATATTCCTCACTTCGAAACGCTAGTATCTACGAATCCTATTCTTCGGAATGTTCTGTTACATATATCTTTTCCTGGTGAAGTTTTGTAGATGTGGTCTGTGAAATTGCAGGTAATCGAAGCAGGAGCGAATCCATCTACGCTGGTGGATTGGTTGGCCGATATGGAAGAAGCAAAAGCGGGAGAGACAACTAGCTTGAATTTTTGAAAAACGATTGATCGTAGAAGGATATTATTTGTTTTATTTATGTTCACGATTATTTAAGAGAATATGTTGTGGCAGACGGGATGATCCTCTTTGATATTTATTGAGGGTCAATTATGTTCGAAGCATATTGTTGTTTGCGGATTTTTCGCAAATAAATGTCATTTCAAGTTGAAGACAACTCTTTGAAAACGGTTAACATACCAAAGCTCTTGCGAGTATGGGCTTTATTGTCATAGTATGTTGCACCACTGCTAAAGTATTTTCATGGCATTGTTATTGAGATAGGAAATCGTCATTAAGTTTGCAGATGGCATTTTTCTCTCGTTTGCGGGAGCTCGATGCCTACACAAAGCCAATGGAAGATTTCCGAGTTAAAACCTTCAGCGGCGGAATGGGTGAGATGGTATCATGTTCTGACCTAAGATTTATATTGATGTTCGTCCAGTTCACTGAAATCAGTGCGTTATAGTTTCTTTGGTGTCATCTGTGGTGATCGCCTTATTGGCGATACAAGAAACAACCCACTACCTTGCCGGTGATGTCGTAGAGCAATTGTTCGTTGACACCACTTCGTCCGATGCTCGACTGGACGTCCATTTCGATATCGAATTTCGATATTTGCCGTGCGTATGTGGGTTTTTAGTATTGCTTGTCATTTTTTCGTCATGTTTTTTTGTAATCAACTTGATCAGATTGTTTCACTCGTAAGCTAAGAGTGTCTCACATTAGTGTGTGACTGTTTACGTCCAGAATGCGACTGTGCTATGATCTTTTATTGATTTGCACGTTCGTCATGACATTCCCAGGGGGGTGATCGCTATTTTTGCATGGTACAGTACTCTCTTACTTTCATGGTACTACTACTACTTTCATGGTACCATGTGCCATGGATGTTTTTTTTGTACATGTGAACCTTAAAAGTCCCGAGTTTTGGAGATTATTCGAGTTTGAAGTGAAAGATGTCGGCGCAATGTGGCTCGGAGGGGGCCAGTCGCCGCGCGCGGCTCAGCGATGTAGTGTAACTCGAACATTCCAGCTTCTCACGGAACATTCCAGCTTCTCACGCATGCTAAGTGACTGCCCTCACCCCCCCCCCCTGAATTGGCTACATTCCCCCTGGCTCACGAATTTCCTGTTGCCGCAACGCCGCGCGCGGCGACTGGCCCCCTCCGAGCCACATTGCGCCAAGATGTCTTTATAATGTTGGGTCCCCTGCGGAACGGATTATCGTCCGCATTTAAATAAGCGAGGACAGCTTACGTCTCGAAAAGAAAGTCAGTTGAAGCTCATCTGTTTTGGCAGTAAAAATTATGGCAAAAGTCGGGCTCAATAAGGGGGTATTATGGCGATTGAAACTGAGTATAGAGATGCGAAGTGGAACGACAGTGGAGAAAAAACTGAGAAAAACCGTCGACAAGGCCGTTAACAAAACCCTCTTTCCCACTAGCAGTGAAGGAGGCTGGCTTGGGAAAGAGGCACGTACAAACAAGTTTTCTGGAGATGTCAGTCGTTCTATCGGTTGATACGGCAATCAACCTAGCTGATTTCACACGTTATGCCAGCCATGCGAGCCATGCACGGCTCCCAGACAATACCTAACCATTTGGGCGCGGCCGCGGCGAACGCGGCCGAGTTGATAGGTGCCCGCGAACTCAGCACAGCACAGTTCGCGGGCACCTCGAGTGCGTTTTCAACGGTTCGCGGGCACAATCGACAATGGTTAGGTATTTGTCTGGAGCCCCCATGTCACCACATCGCCAATGTGGGCGCGTGCGCGCCACAGGTGCGTAACCAAGTACAGGCATGACCGAAAGGGTTGGTTTGGTCAACTAATCCCGACCTTTGCCTTTAAGGGTACTAAATTGTACAATATGCAGAGCAGCAGAAAAGCGCGCGCAGCTCTATTTGTGGTCACTATAACCATCTCTTGATTTTTGACAAAATTTGGCATTAGCTAACATTGAACAAAGTAGCTTGAATGATTGGAATAGTGACATTATTCTTCCATCTTTTTTTTCTTCACTGTTTCGAAACTGGAGAGAGTGATTTTCTTTTGACTCGCTCTTTACTAAGTGAACACTTAAGAAAACGATCAAGCAGCTATGGCGTATTACTTCAGAACGCAAAATTCGTGCTTCCGTAGTGGTTCGTTGGTGCCGTTGCACACTGACTGTTGTTACAGATCTACCACAACCTACCACTGTTGCTGAAGGTAGTCAAAAAACGACAAAAGCAGTGGAAGTAGCGCACAATCAAGCAGGCTGGAAACTGTGTCGAGGAATTTAGTTGCATCAGTACGACCCCACCCTCAAATCGTGGTCTTGATACGACCCTCGAGCAATGTTGAAGTCAAGTTCAAAGAACGACGGTCGATTTGCCGGCAGTTGCGGCGCGGTTGGTCTCTGGGTTAGATTTGCTGGTACCCCGCTCGAAACCATGGGAATCTACACCTCGTTGAAAAGGTACCATTCCCCCTTTACTTACCTTTGCGAACAGCATGTGGTAGGGTTAGATAGAGCTGGGTTCTTTTTACCAACCTGTGTTGAAATTGCTCCAGAAGGCTTCCACTCGGAGAAATAGGGTCTCTCGAACTTGTCGGCCAGCATCACAGATGCTGAAGCTTTCTTGTGAATTTTTGCCATTCTCTAACTTTATGAGAACTTGAAAAAAAGGGAAGACGTTTTGGAAAGCGGAAGGTTTGCGCTTTCTAACAGTCTGTTTAGCTTCTTTCTACATTCCTAGTTGAGGAGATATTTGCGTCGAGGATCTATCGAGGATGATTCTCGGCCGCTCAAAAAGCCGCTCCCTTCTTCACCATTGCAAGTGTAATTCGTTGGCAACGCTCGAAATGTGTCTAGAATACATTCTTCCAACATAAGCAATAAGAAAAGGGGCAATCGTCATCGTCGATTTCGTCTCAGTATAGGCCATGCATCCGACCTCCACTCGAAGTTGCAGAATCGATTGAAAGGTGTTATATGATCATGACCAGTTGACAGAAGCTGCATTGTAGTAAACACATTTCGTAACTCCTACAACCTAAGGAACAGCTTGCCCAGGATTTCCTTCACTATTGTCGTTTTTGCGACAGCGTCCCTAACAACAGTGTTATTCTCAGCGAGGTATTGAGGGCGAGAGAGCTGGCGTTAGATAGAAGTGACTTAGCACGTATGCACATGTGCCCCGTTCCCTGCGGATATGCACTTCCATTATTTGTATTCAGATTTGTATTTGCTTTCAAATACATCCCTTCTCATAAAGGTGGAGGAATGGACTGTACCTTTATGAGAAGGATGTATCTAACGTCGACTAAACCTGCAAGGAATATTTTATATCATGTTTGCTCGCATGTCCTCATTTTCTGCTGCGCCACACCTCCCTCCTGTCTGCACCCTGATGCCACTGATGTTACCGACTCCTAGTAGTAAGACCTCATAACTCACACTGGCAAATACGTCCCCCCTGCCGAAGATTTCCTCGGCCGACATTCACCCTACAATCAAGTGCAGTATGAGTCCAGCGTTCTAAGTTTCATGTCGCAGCCAAAAAAAAAACATTTTGTGAGACGGTCCTCATTTTGGTGCTCCACTACAGTGCGTTTCATAACTATAAGGTCACCCTAAAATATTGCATTTCCGGGACCAACAGCCAACTGGTGATTTTTCCACTATCACCAAATGATTCCCCACTACGAATAACCCCTGTATCGCAATTTTGGTGGGAGCAGCTTTTCTTCGAACTTTTTTGTAATTATTTTTCGATTTTTGCACCGTTTCATAATATAAGGTCACCCTGTGAAAATGAATACTACATTATCGGAAACAACCAACCTGCCTGTGAAATTGAATGTTTGTTACAAACACACCCAGTAGCTAAATTTATGGAATGTTTCGTACTCGCCTTTTGAAGAAAAGGTAAAGTTTATGCATTTCATGGTGCTTGGCACGGTTCGCGAGTCTTTCCAAAGCATTTTTCAGACAGTCATTTAGCACTGCCATGGATAATAGAAAAGCCTCCTACGTCTTCAGATACTCTCATATTCAAACCTCCATAAATAGTTCTATTAAAGAATTAGAGAAGAGGTGCCCGTGCAGTGTTTCGCACTTCGAATTTATCGGCGTTCGTTTGCCGATTCAAGGTTTCCTATCTGTTAAAGAAATATGAAACTTGGAGTGAGAGGACGAAATTATGCCAACAAACAATTACAGGAAAGCAGCCAAAAGATGTGCTCCGAAGGCCTCAGTGGCCGTAAGCAAAGTTGTTACAACTTTCAACACGTTAAAGATTGACGTGCAGTAAGGTAGTATTGAACAAGGTGACTTGCTCTCAGGAACCCTGGTCTGCTCCACAGTCGCACCATATAGCAAGATAATTCCAGTAAAGTTGGTATTTTTTGGACAAAACTGGTTTATACAAACAGATCCTGCGAATATAAACACTTTTGAAGTGACTTGCGAAGGTGGCCGATTCACTTCAGCGCTTGCAATTTAGTTAATGTGATATGAAAGGTGTGAGTGCTTTTTGTGATGATGTTGTGTCAAAGTTTTCGCTTCCATAAACTGCATAATGGACTCCAAAGATTAGCATAGAGCCTTGCGAGGACATTTGACCTCTTCCTTGAGCTGATGAAGTCGGCTAGCCTACGTGGTCATACAGAACAGTACAGGTACCCATGTAGGTCATTCAACCAGAAGCAGCATTTCTCTCGAAACCCTGATGAACTGAACAAATTTTTCTGAATTTCTAGTCGTGTTCTAGTAGAACATCTCAGGGGCATCTTCGTCATGAGTAATAGTGCGTAACGCCAGTTAAAAGCTACACAAGAGCGTCCCTTAAACACGCAGCATTTCGCGAACCGTGATGAAATGAACAAAACAAATTTTTCTGAATTACTCTAGTCGTGTTCTAGTAGAACATCTCAGGGGGCATCTTCGTCATGAGTAATAGTGCGGATAAACGCCAGTTAAAAATTACACAGAGCGTGTACAAGCAACCCTTGAACACGGAAGTGAATCGATGGTGATCTGCCTTGGAATCTCAATTCCGGTAGGCCACGGAGACTATTCAATGTTGCCCTTGATAAAGGAGGAACCATACATTATTATGTCTATTTTATCTGTCATTAATCTTAGGTAATTGTTCTTTTCCTCAGGGTGACCTTATATTATGAAACGGTGCAAAAATCGAAAAATAATTACAAAAAAGTTCGAAGAAAAGCTGCTCCCACCAAAATTGCGATACAGGGGTTATTCGTAGTGGGGAATCATTTGGTGATAGTGGAAAAATCACCAGTTGGCTGCCGGAAATGCAATATTTTAGGGCGGGTGACCTTATAGTTATGGAACGCACTGTATCAGTTTAGCTACCGCAGTCGTGCAGTCCACACTGAGAATTGAAGCGATTGACTGGGCAATTAAAATTTTAACTGTGGCTTTGCTCACCATAAAGGCTTCAGTTCTCCTGTCCTTTCTTCCCTAATCTATTCTCTTTTGTTTCCGTCTACGGTCGGATTTCGAACCGCACTCAAATTGTGGATTTTTGCGCCATTCAGCGGCGTATGTATGGTCTAACACGGCGTCGAGGAAAGTTTTGAAATGCGACCCAACCCCCTCACCAGCCGCGAAGTTATGAAACGGACTCTCCTGACAGCCGAAGTTGGGAAAGTTGGTTTAAAGGGATAGAAGGAGTAAAGCTTTTGCTGTAATCAATCCCGTGTTGAATACGGCGCTCATTTTCTTTCATTTTCTGTAATTGTGTAGGTGGGTGTTTGTAATGCGATGAGGCCCATACAGTTCACTGCGAGCCGGGGATTGTACAGAGTCACCAAACAAGTCTGATTCTGATTTTTCAGAGGGATGGAAGTCTGTGTGGCACGGCGTAAATCAATCGACCGATTCGATCCTCGGGCCGCGCGCGTGGTAAGCGTGCCACTTGCCACTACACCACTTCCGCCCGGAAAGTTGTTTAGCCTCCCCAAAAACCTTTCTCAAGAAAAAAACTTGTACCCACTTCCCATGGAGTTGTGTGACAAGTTGAAAAGGACGAAGGCAAAACCTTAACTTGAATTCCTGACCAGCAAATGGCAGACATAAAAAATCGACGATCGAGTACCCGTAACCTGTCGAAATCCATCTCAACACACCGGATGCATGCCGTCACCTAACATCGCACATGATCTCTCTACTTACAAGGAAAGCCCGCACTTCAGGTGTCGCCATGGCCATTCAAGATGAATGCGGTAGTAGTTGGGGCGTTGAACGAGGGCTGCGGCGGAGGGCGGGGTTGCCGCGGGGCGGGAATTTTGGTTGCTTTTGCGAATTTACTCCTTTGCCTTTGTGCGTAGCATTTCTAAAAATACTTTTATAATGCTCGCTTGCCTATAGCCACTCGTAAAGCGGGTTCACCATGAATCTGGGCACCATTTCGCGATGCAATATGAAGCAGCAATGGGCGAATGGTGCCCAAACTTCGATCGTAAGCTCGTTATAGGTAAGTATAGACAAGTGTTGAAGGAATTTCGAGTACAGGGTTGTTCACCATGAAAGAAGAAATGAACACTTGAAAAACTCGATCCCCTGACCACCGGCCTGAGAGCGGGCAGTGCTGCCTGCGCTTCGCTTAATAATTCGTCGAAAAGTTTCAGGAGATTTGGGAGGTTAGATATTGAGATCACCTTTCAAGACGGCATGGTAATAACAGTATAGCATGGCGACTGACGCGATGAAGCAGGCTTTTCCTTTGTTATCGCAACTTTTACCCTTCTTCTGGGTCTGTGGGGGGGGGGAGGGGGGCTCTTTGAACTGTAAGAATACTGGGCAAACTCCGTCCAGTTCTGCATAAATCGGTAGTTTCCAGAACCGATTTATGGGTATTTGCAAAAAATGCTCCCACAAGAACACGCAGCGTCCACAGGCAAGTTGCGCTCACGTATTGCTGGGGGAACAACCAATAGAAAAGGTGCGCTTGTTACCTTTTGTCTCGTTTTCTGTTTCGGAAGTCTCGAAATTCTGACATTGTCACTGGACATTGAACTATGAAATAAGTTCCTCCGCGTCAGCCCGTTTTTTTTTTGAAGTTATCCTGACAGCAGTTTCTTTAGTTATCACTGTCGATGTCATGGATGTTACCGGCGAAATCAGGACAACATACAAGATGACGTTTTCAAATTACGTTTAGATGGAAATGGAAGAAATATTTCAACTCAAGTGCAAAAAATTGGTTAGTTTTCTGAGAAATTGGTTCATGTTCGGCGAATTGTTGTCACCTTGTATCTGACAGAGGGGGGGGGGGGGGGACTACAATAAACCACTTCAAACCACTTTGGGGGCTCGCAAGACTAAAGAGCCTAAACGACGTAAGATCTGATGTAATGACTTCTTTCCAAATTTACCAGCAATACCTTCAGGGAACTGTATCGATATATTATGGATAGACATGAATGCAAAAAGGTGTACGGATTTTTTTTATTCAGACAAAACAACACGACTAGGACGGGTGTCAAGTAGGAGTACACGAAATTCTAACTCCTGGTCAAGAAGCCGGTTTTTGAATCTGCGCATTCCCTTTTTCGGTGGTTTTATTCATCCGCTTTGGCATGATCAGAGAAAGTTGGGAGTTTGTTAAGAGCATTACTCAAACATTTTGTGTGAGGTTTCTGATTGCTCTACATTCGAAGTGTCCATGTAGCCCAAACGCCTCAGACGATGATGCTGTATAGGTCCTTGATTAGTAAATTATGTCCGATCAGATAGGAAGACTGAAATTTTTCACCATGTTCAGAGGTCAATTGGAACACATTCTAACATTCACACTGATAACGGCAAGTTCGCGGTTGCAATTTAATTTGAAGCGTGATTTTGCAGTTGATTGCTACTACATGAAAAATTTCCTGCAGTTGAAAAGATTACAGGAAGCAGTCAAATTTAGTAATGTAAGATGCAAAAACCAACAAAATTGAAAAAAAAACGTGAGTTTAATGTGACTTTGCTAGCCTGTAAAGCTGCTGGGTACCATTGGCCGACAACATCTCGCGAAACATTCCAGTGTCTGACACTATTGTAAGCGTGTTAAAAACGACCTACCTATCTGAAACGGTGAAATTGGGTTATTGCCAGACATATTAAAACGATGGTGATTGTTTTTCCTTTGGATTCCTCGGAAACGTTGAAGACTGAGTAAACAAACTGTTGGAATGCAGCAAGGAATTATGGAGTAACCCAAGAAATCATGTGCTCTTTTCTCAACAGAGATCTGTTCATAAACGCTCAGTTTGCTATTATTTTGTTTTAGAGGTCAATCAGAATAAGACTGTTGAAACTACAAAGACTGCTGTTGAAAAATGCGGTAGCTGTTATGGAGCTCTTCCTGAAGGAAGGTACGTCACTTGTCCTCTAGATGATTTGTATCCCTCCTCGTTTGACAATTTAGCTGTTGCAATACTTGTGAAGAGCTCAAGGAAGCCTATCAGTTGAGAGGGCTGGCAAGTGAACGTTGATGAAGTTGAGCAGTGCAAGGTATCTCTAGCAGAAATTCTTCAGTGATTTGATATTTTGTATGAGATGTCTACCAGAGCGATCCATGGAGAAAGATGTTGGAGCAGTATAAAGATGAAGGCTGTCGGGTATATGGAAAGCTTCAGGTTGCAAAAGTTGCAGGAAACTTCCACCTTGCACCAGGAGATCCTCATCGTATAATGCGAGCACATGGTAATTCAAAATGTTTTAATTGCTCAAACTTGGCTTCTTGCTAAGGGATTCATTTTGGAATATGAGCTTTCACTAGGAAATTTGAGGCTGCAGAAATACCAGCAGTTTACAAGCATTTTCAGTGCACGATTTCCATGACGTCGATTTGAAGAATTTCGACACTGCCCATGTGATAAATCACTTGTCATTTGGAAATGAGTTTCCAGGGAAGAAGCATCCTTTAGATGGAAAAGATACTACTAGTGATAGAGGTACTCACACTACTACATCAAAAGGTTCAGTTGACGTTTACAATACCTTATGATACTTATTGTACTGCTCACATGATTGCACCTAACATCTTCCGCAGAGGTTTTCGTTTCATAATTTCAATTATTTCTCTTTGCCTTCAAATCCCAGAAGAGCAGGGATGCCAGCCATATTGTGGAAACCTGCCAATTGCTTAGTGAAAAAGAAGAGGGAAATTGCTGTTCGATTGTAGTAAACAGCATTGGGTAACGCTTGATTTTACTATTCCTCTCCCCCCCACCCCCTTAGAACGCTAACCACCCACCATGCTGCACCCATGAGACGACCGAGTCTTCCTTTTTCTGTCGATGGGCACAATTTCGCAAGGTTTTAATGTAGCGCATTCGCACAAGATCTCATTTCACCTTATGTTTTACACATTGAACAGTTCGTTGTGTTTGATTTTGATTAAAAGCAGTTTTCGTGATAAGCTGATACTGTTGGAATGTGAAAGTTAAGGTAAGAGAATGGGTAAATCCGGAAAATTCGATCTCTTGTGAAGTGACTGCTAAGGGCAAGGTGACTAGTAGCGAAGTAACACACTCTCTTTCCCTCCTCTCCACATAACGCAAGTGACGACGGCCTTCATTAAATGTGAACGTTTTCTGCCAAACGCAACGAGTGGCTGATAGTAGTCGCATTTATCAGTTATCGTCAATAGTAACTCATTTGCCAACTATCTGCAATCACTATGAATCACTGGTTACCAGATTTACTTGGAAGACGTCGCCGCTTGTGGTTTGTGTTTCTGGCTTTATGAACTAGTGGGTATATGGCCGTATTGGCGCAGGGAGAGTTAAAACACTTATGCCATAGAAAACCTTGATATCGCAAGACCTGCCAGCTCCTCAGTCTTGTAACGGTTAGCTTAACCCTTTCCATTAGTTCATCAATGATCCCAATCCCTTTCGATTGTCTAAACCATGAGCTGTATAACTAGGGTTGGCGTGTCGGGGTTTGCATGCTGCTTCTATATGTATGTGAGCATGTATACTGTATCTCCGGCAGCTAGGTGCGCGTCGAGTACAGACCGCACAACGCAAGTGACAAGGTATTTGGGAAGCATAGTTGTAATTATTGACGGCACATTGCACTATTACAACCCCAGTGGGGGCCGAGATGGGCCAAAAAATAATTTTCGATGAAACTTCGGCTGTGGGCGTTATCGAGGGCCTTCATCACGAATATGACATCAATTTTAGCGCCAGCTGGCGCCACAACTCATTATCACCAAATTCGCTGTAAACTTCTGTGTAGTGGTTATTTTGGGCCCTGGTCACGAATATGACACTTCGTTTTTGACATTTGTGCTGTTTAACAATGCATATTTTCTGCTTTTCTCACCTTTTCTAAGCTTTCTCACCTATAGCGCCTAAGACTAAGCTTAGGGGAGGGGGGTGAAACTCCGGAGTGGGTAAACCACGCACCGTGTGGCAAAAGTTGGAGTGTGTTAGACCACAGGGGAGTGGCCTACTCACTTTGGAGCCCTCCACTATTCAAAGGCTTAGTCCTGATTGCGATCTAATTAGTGCGAGGGCGCAGACGAGCAGGAAATAGGCGCCGAATAGCGCCAACAACAAAAAACAAAAACGAATGTCATATTCGTAATCAGGACCCCAAATAACCCCTATACAGAAGTTTACAGCGAATTTAGTGGGAATCAGTCGTGGCGCCACCTGGCGCCAAATGGCGCCAAATTGGCGCCAGCGCCAAAAATGAATATCATATTCGTGATCAGGACCCTCGATAACCCCCATAGCCGAAAAAATTATTTTTTGACCCATCTCACCCTGCGATTTCGGTCTAATTAGGCAGTAGTGCCTAACAAGGAGGGTCTTTCAGGACATGGAGCGTTTTTTTTTTCAAAATGGGTTCCTAGTTTTTGTAGATTCTCATGTGAGGAATACAGAACCATGGTCCATTTTTCCTGAACGCCCCTAGGAGTCTCAAAACAGGGGAGAAGAAATGGTCCAAAGTTCGATCCTCCGTCATGACAAATTTTTGCAATTTATCTTGGGGCCTCCAAAATGCCGCAAAACACGACAATGACATCTATTCTCGACGATGGCGCCATTTGGCGGCAATCTGGGGCGCCAAACTATATTGCAAAAATTAGTCATCACCGGGATCGAACTCGGGACCATTTCTTCACCAATGTTTTGACATTCCTGGAGGCGTTCAGGAAAAATGGATTATGGTTCTGTGTTCCTCATGAGCCCCACAACATGCAGGAAACCGTTTCGAAAAAGCGCTTCATGTCCTGAAAGACCTTGTTACTGACAACTGATGGAATGCAACTGCAACTAGCTGATCACTTCATTGGCAGAAACAATTACATTTTGTTGTCACTTGCGTTGTGTGATCTACACTGGACGCGCACCGGCGCCGGAGACAGGGTATACCAGTCTGTACGTCCGTAAAACGAACAGATAAGGAAGCTCATGAAGCGAACAAACAGCTGATAAAATCGAGTAGCTCGCAGGGCTCGAGCTATTAATGTTTTGCATTGGCATGCATGAGATCATGCCCAACGGCTATATAAACACCTAATTGTGTTGCTTCCGATCATTCCACATAGTGGTGTGGAATGACTGAAAGCAATATAATTAGGTGTTGGGGGCAAGGAAGGACAAAATGGGGAGAAGGAGAAAAACCATTTCCCCACATATCTAAGGTACATGAAAGTACTGTGCTGTCATTATAACGTCATGTCATGATTGTGATAGTGCCATCTACTATAAACAACACCTTTTGTGAATATGCGTCACCTCCATGAGGTATGAGGAAAGGAAAGTCACGGCGGTTGTCCGGAAGCAATTTGTTGGTTCCCTATTCCAGCTGCCTTATCACCCAATTCATTTTGCGGAACGGATAAATACACAAACCGACTTATATGCTAACATTTACTTTGTCTCCAGTGCCTTAGAGCAAGACAATTGTAGAAATGTGCTAGCGGCAATGACGTAGCATCAAATCGAGAACATCTCGAAGCACACATGCTATCTTCTTCTCACGAGAATTTCGCCCTCGACGCGCACCTCTTTCCGGGAGACAGATGTTAATACATACAAACCGTCTCACCGAGTTTGCGCTTCATACAATGAAAGACTTCCAACTTTCAGGTGCTATTATGCATAATTACTACGTGAAAGTTGTGCCAACAAGCTATGTACGCATGGATGGTCGTGTGGAAAGTAGCCATCAGTTCTCAGTAACAACTCATCAAAAGGATAGATCGAAAGGTGCCTCTCATCAACCTTCGCAACCAATAACTTCATTAATAGTTAACTTTTCAAAATTAAGGTTTGCATATAACTTTTAATCAGTATTATTTCACATTATACAACATAGGTGGTTAGCGTCACCGGTCCAAAGGAATTGGTTCAGCTTCTAAGGTTTTACTTTTTTGCAAACAGGACCTTTCCGTAGTTGACAGAATTGTTGTCGGCGCTGTTGTAATGCCGAGTAAAGAGTCATTTTCAGCGTTTCCCTGATGTTCAACTGTTTCTTCCAAAACATATAATTGACATGTAGATCGCCATATAATAGTTAAATGCTGTGTTATTTGTTGTGGTGAGAGCTCAGTTTTGATGGCTTTGCTATCCATGTGTTTCTGTAAACTGAACTCTTCACGAGGGTAGAACGTTTATTGCCTACTGCTTCGAAGAGGTGAAATGAACACGCGAAACATCATAATAACGTTGGAGATCAAATTGAGCATCGAGTATGAGCAGCACCCTTTTAGAGGAGAGCTCAAGACCAATCAGAATTCGGTACGCCAAATAGCAGTTCGAGTTTAGAGCAGTCTCCAAGCAAATTCTTCGTGGGAAGAAAGCCTTTTATGGGAAATACTTGAACTTCCGCGTTTTTGTGGAGCATTCTTTTCTCGGGCGGAAGTGGTGTAGTGGCAAGTGGCACGCTTACCACGCGAGCGGTCCGGGGATCAAATCCTGGGTCGTGAGTCGCCCGGGCCAACCAAGCCTTCCATCCCTCCGGGGTCGGTTAATTGGTACCAGACTTGTCTGGGAGGATAAAAACACTGACTTGTACATCGGCTGGCCCCCGCAAGTCATTGTATAGGCCACATCGCATTCAAACGCCACTGCGAATGTACAAATGGAAGTAGAATGCGTGCCGCATCCCAAAAAGGGATTGATCAACGGCAAATGCTTTATCCTTTTATTCTTTCCTCCGGCATTCGTTAAATTACCGATCTAGAGTAAATCCTAAGTGCATCGTGAGTTCGCGCACAGGCCTTGCAATTCTTGCGGGGTGACTTCAAAATCGTTCAAGTTTTTTATGTCAAGTTAGACCTCAGATGATGCAGAAGAAATGAAACGCTACAGAGTCTAAGGACTGATTATCACTTTAATGTAAGGAATTGGCACTGTGAACAACTTTTCTGCAAATAAAGTGAGTTCAGGTGTGAGTGGGATTCCGGGTTTTGTCGTGCAGTATGAATTCAGTCCACTTATGGTGCGGTACGAAGAAAGGCGGCAGTACGTTTCTACAATGTTCATATATTCCGAAAAATCTATTCCCTAGAGAAAGTACTTTTTATTAGAAAACATCTTTTAGACATTTGATTACGTTTCTGGTCTCGCTATGTGCTATTATTGGAGGCGTATTCACTGTCGCTCAGATGCTCGACTCTATGATTTATCACTCATCTCGAGTCATTGAAAGGAAACTTATCCTGAATAAGCTTGGTTAAATTATAATATTTGTTCTTCGGATAGGTTTTTCAATTCATACCATTTCTGTATACGTGTTGTACTAATTGGTTTCTATCACATTTTCGTGTGTTTTGCTTTTATGAGTCAATGGATGCCTTTTTTGAAAGGATTATTGTTACTGGGTAATTGTTGAACTTCTGTTATCAGTCGTCTGTGATGGCCGTTATTTATGGGGAGTCTTCCTCTATGTACAGATTTCGTTTTTCTTCTTCACAGGGATTAGTATTATTTAAAGTAATAATAAAAATATATTTCATAATGAAAGCTGAAAACAGAATTTCATTCAACCTTGACAATTTGCAAAGAGGACATTTTTCTTTGCACACAGGTTGTGTAAAAGACCAGTCGTTGATAAGCTTTGTCGCAACGGAACTGAACTGAGCTTTACCGACCGTCATAGAGGGTTTAGATCTCATTCGTGTCATAAGTTTTGTTCTTCTTGAAGGCAACGGTCAGGATCAATTTAGTATACATAGTAGTTCCACTAGAATGTAAAAGTTAGGAGTTGAAGTGGACCACAAGAAGATGAAAAAAAGGAAGAAATAGTTTCTCAAGAATGCTGGGTTGTGAACAAACTTTCGCCCCAGATGGGGCTTGAACCCGCTCCTTTTGCTTTCCGTACAATGTGCGGGAGAAATAGTGTCAGAAACGCAAAAATACGCAATTTCTTGCTTTGAGAAAGTCAGACAGCGAAGTGAGGAAGGGTCAGAGTCGCGATTCGTCGCGCGAATCGCAAAAATCGCAAGCGTCCATTGAACATTTGAAGCACTGAAGATACAGTAGCGCTCAAAAGTATTCGGCCAAATGCATTTTCGGCCGTAACTTTTCTTCTGCTGAATCAAATCAGTTCAAATTTTGATATGTTAAAGAGGCAAACATTCTTCACTAGGCGTATAAGTGTTGGATGGGAGGGAGAGTTAGGAATGAAAAAAGTCCTTTTACTAAAAATTCTCGAGTATGAGCAAATTCCAAGTAGGTTTCAAATTATTGTAGAAAGCTTATAATTCAACAAAACAATCGACGGAATGGTAAATAACAACAAGCACATTCAGTACTCTGTTAATAGCCTTTTGGAGTTGCTGAAACCTCACAGGCCTAAGTG